TTTTAAGAGCGATCAACTCCAAGTTTTGAAGCAAGAGTGGGCGAAAAATCCCACAATCTAAAATTGACGAGATGATTCTCACGATGCCCCACAGGATCAACGAACTCCACGAAGCGAAAGGAAGATCTACTAGACATTAATTAAATTATAAATATATCAATTCATGTGAATATGACTGAAAATGTTCATTTTTTTTCTGAAAAGATGGTGTCTATTTTCATGTGACCATGCTGTGTACTGTAGCTTAACCCGTATACGATGACCAGCTGCGTGTACTGTAGCTTAATCCGTATACCGTGACCAGCTGCGTAGCTGTAGCTTAACCCGTTTACCATAACCAGCTGCGTATACTGCAGCTTCGTACATTGTCCGTTGTCATCAGCTCGGTAACGGTACAGATTGACACCCAGTGTGAAAGATGGCGTGGTGTAGTTTTTAGATGCACACGCACCTGCATACGCTTTTATAGCGAAACAGATTCAGGTTCCTATTTGACGGTTTGTCTAATACAAGCGGCGGTTTACAAACTGTCTGAAATAAAAGATTTTCATTTACATATTTTTACTTGATTGTCCTTAATCTGCCAGTGGAGCTTGAGGTCATCTGAAGTTTATAATAATAAAACAAACAAACTGGATTGTTGTTTAATTCCGAGTACGCATACAAAATAGGTGTATTTCATCTATTAAATCTATGGTGTTTTTGATGAATTTGATAGCAGGATGATGCTTAGAAAAAAAGTCTAGTAAACTATCATACGTCTCATTCTTAAAAGGTGTGATCAACACTTGTGAAGTACTTGTCTTGTCCTTTGATTTACTTGTATTCTCCATTGTGCATCCTTCTGTAAATTCACGGCCATTTGGTTATTCGTATCTGCACTAGGCAGTTGATGGATGATGGTTGTTAATTTGGTATTAAACTGCATAACACTACTATTGTAATTATAAAACCAGGAGTAACATAAAGGCAGATCTTACTTGGTTAATCTCTGACTTCAGATTATGTATGAGTAAGCTCTCTTTCATACATAGTCTTTGTTGATCATTGGCCTTTATTAATATCTTAAAGCAGTTAGGGTAGACAACTATATCAATATATCACACTTACCTAGGTAGAGCATATTCCAGTACACTTATCTATTCGAATTCCTTAAAGTTGCACGTTCCTTGACGCGAGAGTTAACAGTTTTCTTTTTGTATAACCTATATAAGCATGCTGACATGACAATAATGACAAATAAATTTATAAACATTTTATATTTTCAGAGAAGGAATACTAACATTAAATAAAAAAAATATTCTGTAAGTGGAAATCACGTTAAAAAATATACCTCGACTCTATTTGAGGATATACCCTACGAAATATGTTTCGCGACTGATTTTTTTGCGCTCGAGAAATATTTATCAACGTTTGTTTTGTTTGTTTGTAGTTAAGCACAAAACTACACAATGGGCTATCTGTACTCTGCCCACCACAGGTATCGAAACCTGGTTTCTAGGGTTGTAAGTCCGCAGACATACCATTTACCAATGTATGGTAAAATTATAACCGATGGGTATTTGGGAGCTCCGTATGTAGGTTTATAAAATTATAACTAATGGGTATTTGGGAACTCCGTATGTAGGTTAGTAAAATTATACCTAATGGGTATTTGGGAACTCCGTATGTAGGTTAGTAAAATTATAACTGATGGGTATTTGGGAACTCTGTATGTAGGTTAGTAAAATTATACCTAATGGGTATTTGGGAACTCCGTATGTAGGTTAGTAAAATTATAACTGATGGGTATTTGGGAACTCTGTATGTAGGTTAGTAAAATTATACCTAATGGGTATTTGGGAACTCTGTATGTAGGTTAGTAAAATTATAACTGATGGGTATTTGGGAACTCCGTATGTCGGTGATTTAATAATTTTACTTGTTCACATAGTTACGAAGCATTTTATCATTAACATATATAGGTAACCCATTTTTGCACAAGGATCCCCCCCCCCCGTGGCTAAGAAGCAAGTCTGAGGGTTTATAACGCTAAAAATCAAATTTCGATACCCTCGGTGGGTAGAGTACAGACAGCCCATTATATAATTGTGTCCTTAAAGGCAAACAAAAAAAAATGTCTTAAGTAATTTTATGTCTTTTTCTAGAATGAGTGGACATAAAACAAAATCCCGAGAACTCGCTTTCTTTAATGTCTTTACAATTGCCAATAGTTTAATCTTGATGGAAGGTTTATATCAAAAGCTCGCAGTAATTCAATATACGAATGATACAAATCCGCAAAAGTAAAAATAAGTTATTTGGGCACAGTAGAATACAAATTATCGTTTGTTTTCTCATATTCCATAAATTAATTGTTTTAGCCATAAATTAATTATTTTAACCATAAATTATTATTTATATGTAGTAAATAAGATTTTTTTCAAGCAGATTGTTGAATTACATGTGTATGAAAATACTGTTATCGGGGATTTTAAATATATACTTGTCTAAATATGTTTCTTTCTTTTTTCTTTTTCACACAGCCCGACAGAACAAGATTGCTCATTAAGGCAGAAGAGGCGAGCTGGCATTAGACTTCAAATCGATCGTCCATTATGCCTTTTTTTTTTTTCAATCTAGCAAATGGTATTTCAAGGCAACTAGGAAACGAACCGTTTATAACAGGAGAAAAAAGTTATAAAGATTGTACCAGTCAATTATATAGGCGTAAAAATGAAACAGGCCTATAAATAATTTGTGCAGTATAACTGAAATTGCTTATGAGGATTGGCCAACGGGAAAAACCCATATTTTCCACATAGTCTACCTCGAATGGCAAAAACAATCAAACTTCTATGTTCTACACCAATACAAACCAGTCCACGAATCTGCCTTTTCTCGTGGAATGCAATTTTAAGCCACAAAATCTTTTAAGTAAGATTTTATCTTGGTGTTACGATTACTTCTGCAATTCATAGAAACTAGAATCGTAAAGCAGTGCTTGAAAATAAACCTTTAAGTCAATAATTCACAATTGGATCGCATTTAAAAAATACATTCGGTGTGTCGGAAGTTTCAATTAAATTAACTTACTGATATTTTGTAGGTCTTAGTAAAGCATCACTGTTTTATCGCAACTACTATTACTTTGGTGGGAAATCCTTCTCTGACTGTTTCCGCGAATAAATGAAATACTCAGTGGTAAAAGCAGTATTTATTATGAATTAGAAATTTTTTGAACAGACCTTTCAGTCTGTGATATGAAACTTAACACATAAAGGACTACTGATAAGACGTCACTCTCATACAATGCTGTTAATACTGGTTAAAGCTTATTTTCATTGTTCATAACTTAGAAATTGAACTTTCAATTTTGACTGCGATTGTGGCGTAAGCGAAGGAAGCAAAAACTACCTGGTGGGGCTAAAATGCATGCGAGACCTGAACATGGTAATTCTATGGAAATTGGGAGTTATGACCTCCAGAAAATGTAGCACTTATAGACTTCAAACGGAGAATTTCCTGAAATACAAGTTGTAGAAAGCGGACATGTAGTGTATGACAGCCTTGCAATTATTAATAGGTTATCACATACCAGGCTGACACTTCTCTGCCTCCCACCCAATCCCTGTTGTTCGCCTTTGTTTGTACGAGTACGTTATTTTCACTTCTCAACAGTATTCACCCCACAGCTCCGATGGCATATATTTTGATCGAAAACAATTTGTTATGCCATACAGACGCTACTTTCTAATCACTCACATACTTTAGAGTCGAATTAAATTTGAATGTAAACCATAAATCAAAATCACATTTCTTACAACAATTATCCAACTCATTCTTCTCTGAAGGGAGAACACTTTTTTTCATGTTTAACGTAACAGATATTAAAACACGAAAGTAGTAGAAAAAAACACTTGTATACCTGACTACGTATGTCATATTATGGTTGGTTTTAAAACTTATGGATCCTAAGAAGCAAAAAGCTATTTATCTAAAAATAAGTTTTCTAGTTTAACTAAACTTAGTTTCTTTAGAAAACTTTGCCAAAAAGAATTTAATTAATTTCATCATATTCATAAGCACTCTAAGTCAACAATATAGGTGTGGTAATAATAAATACCTTTTTTTTAAGTTTGTGTATTTTCACTAGGCGAACCTGAGAAAAGGGTATAAAATATATAGCAAATCTTGTTTTTAAATTCTTTAACAAAGAACTAGCAAAAGGTAGAGAGGAAGCAAGAAAACTTAATCTAATACTGAGGTATATTTGTTAATTATCTGTCTTTGCTTGAGATTTCATGAGTTAGTTTTATTTCTATTGGTGGAAAAAATATCCAGTTACTTTGGAAAACAAATTAAGGATTGTATAGTAATAATTAGTTATTTAAATTACTTAGTTTCTAGTACTGATTGCTCAAAGGATAGTTTTTGCTTTGAGATAATAAATTTACAAAGAAACGCCCCTTTATACAAGCTTTTAAAGAGCGGCATTTTAAGATTAATCACGATTCACTTGTGTTCTCACTTTGTAGAATGGGAAATATATTACAATATGATTATTTAATTCTAAGATTTTTACGAGTCAGTTGCAGTTGTTGAAAGGTATTCATATGTATTGATAGAAATAAATAAAACGATTTTAAAGCCCCTGTCAGATAATGTTTGTAATTTGGATAACTTTCCGTATTAACATAACCTTTCATTATAAAAGATAAAATAACTTCATTCCTTCGGCGGTTTCTTCTTCTTAATCTTTTTTTTTTTGAGAAGAGATGGTAAATATTAAATTGATTACATTTATATCTATTTATTTAAGTTTATTAATTAATATTAGTGATTAGTTATGTGTAGTAAAGAACAATAGTAATCTTCAGGAGAAACGTATTTATTAAAAAAACAACTTTTCAGCTTAGGTCTTCGACGGTGCCCAATATTTACTAACTACAACAAAAAATTAAATATCCAAAATAATGCTTACAGTAAGAAAGTTAACGGTTAATAACATGTCAATGCTTAAAGTCACGTGGGACAAAATACTTAGCGAATGACAGCATGGCGTTTGATATTGACAAATGGTGTTTCATGTTTTGTTCAAAAACGTTCTGTGATGGCTTCATTTGTGGTATCTTTTTTTTTAGTCTTCTACAAAACGGTCATTAATACTAATGTGTAAGGGGTAAGTTGTTTGTCCAATCTACTTTTCTTTGCAAATTTGTAGATGAATTTATATAACTGATCTATAGATATGGGTGTCGCTTAGTAGGTGCTGTATTGAAGCCTCGCGTCCGCCATCTTACTACACCCAATCAGTGCCACCACACAGTCTGAAAAATAATGTTGTATTTTTGCTTTCTATTAAAGTTTGTTTCTTTGAAACCAAAATTATAAAATAAGAAATATAAAATACTTTTCTATGATTGAGAGGTGATTATACTTTGTAATTCTGTTGACTAGTTCTCACATATAAAGTGTGGTTTCATAAACACATGCCAAAGGAAGATTCGACACTATTTCGTGTAATAATTAAGAAAAATAGTGTAACTTATATTAAAAATCTTCGTTGGATTAGATTAGATTAGACTACAGGGTATATTAGATGTTTACTATAAATCAAAGACAGAGAGATAACAACGATATGACAAAAAAAGAGCTTTTAATTTCGTTCTAAAAATACAGAAGAACTGGAACTATCCCCATTCTTGAAAGAAAAAAATAAATATTTATTCATCAGTACTTACCAATTCTGTTGTTGCTAAAAGAAGGGATTATTCATATAAACAAATTCAGAGTAACATCAACATAGGAAAGAAGATCGTTATAACGACATTTATTAACATGATACGATGCATAAGAACCTTTTATGCGAACGTAAGTAACATGCACGAATAACTCTTTTATTTTTTCACACATTCATAAAAATATAAATTAATAATTGTTAAATAGCACAGTTGTTACAGAACTTATCTTTTCCTCTGATTCTGGTGTCTTATAGCCTAATGTATCAATTACTGCAGTTAAGTTTTGGTGTTAGAAAAAAATAATAATTGCAAAATTACAAAACTTCTGTTGACAAATAAAATATATCTGCGATTTGTGTAACAATGTACTGATGAATGAAATAATCTATTTAAATTACAAATCAATTCTCTGAACTAATTATTTAAAAAACTTCATTTTATGTTAACACATTTTACAATAACACTGAAAGCGTATGATAGTTTAGCATAAAACCCTCTATAAATAATGTTGTGTGTAGGTAACTACTTATATAATTGTATCATTAATGACGGATGTTAAGAAAACTCTGTAGAGATCGCTATAAATTAACTAACAACAATTTTATTCACAATAAAAATCTCACTTTTGTTTCATAATATTTCTTTATACACAACATTGCCAGTAAAAATATCATCAGTATTTTTCAATTTCCCTTGGAACTGTGAATCAATAATTTTTACCTTTTTTCTTTGGACGTGCATCTGGAAAAGGTCACGTAAAGTTGACCGTGACCAAAGACAGGTTTTGGGAGAAATAGACCGACTTCGTCGAATATTTGTCCTTGACTCTTGTTGATAGTAATTGCAAATGCTGGAATGACAGTTGGTTCTCACTGGGATCAATTCTGGGAATGAAGACTCTGTCTCCTTGATTTGTGCCTGTTAATATTTCTGCATCAATAAAGTTTTCATTTAAAGATATTATTACAAAGCGAATACCGTTGCACAATCCTTTTTTAGGGTTCAACTTACTTAGGAGCATGATGATGCATCCAACTTTTAAAACCAGTTTATGAGGAGGCATTCCTGATGTAAATTCGGATTTTAAAAACTCTATAATAAGCCTTATTTTCACCAGGAACAAGATTTAAAATTTCATTATTCAAACTCATTTCTATATTATTCTAAATGGATAAAATTAATTTATTGGCTAAAGCCTCCATGTTATTAATGTAAATTTGCTCACCATAAATTCCAGACACAATCGAGTAATCATCGATCATGGAATCTTCACCGTGTCTTCTTGCAGATCAGGTTCACTGCTAGAAATGCCACCTCCAATGTTAAGAAGCCAACTGCTGTATTCTTTCTGTTCTCCCCTAGTTCGCATATACTGTGTAAAATGCAACTGATGAAAGTAATTCCACAGTGATGTGAGTTTTAGAACCTTTGGTTACAACTGGAAGTGTTTACCTGAAGTTTCCACCCAGAACTAAAGCTTTTCCACCAAACTCAACAATGATTTGCATTATTTCTTTCAAAATAACATTGGTGCAACGAGAAGCATTTTTTGTCATCATAGATGCTTAATGTATTACGACGAGTTTGACAAATTTAATTTGAGCAGTATTTTGCGATCTTAACGATGTTGAGGAGACAGAAATGTCAAGTATTGGAACTGGTAATTTAAATCCACTATGAAGAGTTCTTCCTCCTCTCAATAACGCAGTAGCGATACCAGTTGTTGTGAACGGTAATACAACCTACTCTCGACGAAGAATAAAGTTTATCAAAGTACTGCATAGAAATTTTTTCCTGAGCCTTCTGGTCCATCTAAATAGAAGCATTTTGATGTATGTGATGCATCTTTAACAGCAAGCGTGATTTGATCAAAAGCTTCTCTCTGTAATTCATTTAAACTTCGAATTCTTGCCTCAGCTTCAATTTGCTCTTGGGTAGGATGTATATGATAAACAATTTCATCTAATAAAAGGTCCGGGACCTGACAATTTCAACACTCTGCAACGCAAACCATGTGCTGACAAACAACTTTCAGTATCAAAGAAAGCATTTATACTCGCAAGTTGTTCGGAGTTGCTTTGCAAATAATTTTCGATCATGTCTGCCTTGAAGCATTCCCACAGAATTTCTGACTGTTCAGGATTACAAAAAAAACAGAAAATTGCAAACGTTTGTCTAAGTTGTGCAGCCAGTTGAACTACTGCTGCTTCCTCCAAACAATGGAACCACTCGCTATCATCTTCAAGTAAATTTATTCTGATGGCAGCTTCTTTGAATGTTCTAGATAACACAGTTGGCTCTTCGCACATCTTCAAAAGTTCTGGCTCCTCGAATGTGCAGTAACAGAAGGCACAGGTAAAATCTTTCACCAGCTTTTGGGTCAGCTGAATACATTCGTGAAATAATAGAATTTTCTTCTTGTTGACGTTTGATCCAAGCAGATAACTTAAGAGTTCCAAACATCATGATATGGAATACCACAGGAGAGAAAACTGTTAACAGTGGGATCACTTTGAATTAATAGAGACCATCCTGTCATCTTAGTAGGTTTATTTGCAGATCTTTCTATTGTTCGCTGTTCTTGGTCTGGCACAAAGTAAAATTCTTGTTGTGAATGAAGATGAATTGGAAGTCTGATAATAAAATGTTATCTGTCATGCATCTTGTACTATAATAAACGTCATATAGATTCAGGTGAAGAGACATAGCGATCGTTCAAATAATTACTGATTTCATCATGAAAAATGTGGTGCAAATTATTTTCATTATTGATGACTAAGTTTACTGCCTCACGTACTTTATAAACGTATTTGTATATATATGTCGCTGATTTTATAGAAGTGCAGGCTTCAACATTGATGTGAGCATTATATTTGTGCGGAAAAACTTGTTGTAAGGTACTACAAAGCGACTTTCCACAGGTTTACTGCCAACCGTCACAGATAACAATTGTCTGCGCTGATATTTTGGATATGCTTTACATTTAACTCCGTCGAATCCTGAAACTCTTTCGGGAAGCTTTTTTTGCACAAATTATTCTCCATACATGGTGATCTTGGATTCAAAGTTCCACCTAGCCCAAGAATCATATGGCAAGTCACTATTTCAAATAAACTTGGTTCCAACTGAGGATCTGGAATTTCCGCACGAACTGCTTTATCGATCTCCTTCACTGTTTGAAGTTTGCATTCCCAATTTAAAATTATCAACATGTGACAGTATTGAAGACTACGTTTTTGAAATTATATAATGTAAACGTAAGCATCGACTTTGCCAAATAAGTCCCTTTGAGTTATGCCATTTATCAGTTCTTTAAGCTTTACGTTGAACACTCTGGCCACTAAGTTTGGTCTATCAGATGCAGTTTGACCAGTATGAAGACTTTCTGTGATTTCTGGCCAAGTTGGATTGCCGGTCATAGCTAGAAAAATATCGGGTGAGCCACAATGTTGAACAATTAACATCGCATCATGATATCTTTCTTTCATGTTGCGTGGTGAGCCTTGAAAAGATGAAGGTAGAAACACCATGTGCTCAACTGGAAGTCCCAACTCTTCAGACTGATTTTCGAGATGATCTGCGAGTCCTTGATAGTGCTAATCTCGCAGTTGGTATTAGCTTCGACTTGGAGATATGAATCCATTATATACTGTTGTGTAAATTTGGCTGCATGATGGATCAGGTTGAAAACATTTGGTCTTACAGTCAGTTGGTAAATTTTGCACTGAAGCATTGTAATTTTTTTCCTTGATCGGTACTCAAGTCCTTCTGCTATCATATTTGACTCCCATCCTGCCTCACCGTAAGGAAATAGAAGAGTATAAACCATTGGATCCAAGTTTGGACTCAAAATATTGAGAGATATCAAAGAATTTCCTTCAACTTTTGGAAAAACATTGAA